TTCGTGTTATATCGGGTCGTGTTATATCGGGGTAGAGGTGTATTTGCATCACTCTGATTTTCCTTGGAAGTTTCTCTGCCAAATATTGACAATGTCCAACTTTGCATAGTTTGCTTGGAAACTGTATTGCTTCAGACCATTGCTGAGAGATGTTGCACACAGAGTAATCATGATGTCTGTTATAAGGTTGCCTAACCCTTTCCATGATCACCCTATTTTCAATTGTTTATAACTTTGACAAATGTTAACCTTTCAGGATGAAGTTTTCCATGGTTGCAGACTGCCTCAATTTAATTTTTTGGGGGAGGGCAGGAAGCATAGGGAGGATTAATCAAAAACAGTGCCACGGTTTTCAAGAAAGAGGTCAATGAAAAATAGCAAGTTTTGGCTATGTTAAAAAATAAAATTCCCACCATCTTTTGAACAGCTTTAGCACCTCAGTGGTTTGAAATAGGAACTTGAAGTTTGAGAAAGGAATAGTTCTGAGGTCAGCCATTCACTGTCCCCATGAAAATCCATCCAGATTTTACCAAGTTATAAACCATGTAAAATCGCCACTTTTGTACATGCACAATAGAAATTGTGTCACTTCTGAAAGTTCAAATTCATACTGCATCATTCTGAAATAAATGCACAGCACTATATGTCCATACAGGACACAAGCAAGACAGCAGCAATAACTTCAGCTGCTGTTTTCCCTCCATCAAATACCCTTTGGTCTAGGGTAAGCAATGTAATGATCATGAGGGTTATTAAATAACAAACCTGTGAACGAGAAAGAAATAAAACTGATACTAGATGTTGCTGTGCTAAATAAAGAACATTAATAACAATTAAATAAACTAAGAACCTTCAGCATTCTTTGAATAATTCTGGTAAGAATGGGTAATAGGGAGTGAAAAAACACAAGAAAACCAATTTTGTCATCTAAAAAATCCAAGGTTAATTTAAAGTTTTGAACTTACAATATCACAGAAGTGTAGGGTTGGAATTGTTGAATTATTTCTCCTAATTATTTTACACCATTTGGAACATAAAATATGCTTAAACCTTTGTAACAAATGTGACTTACCTGAGTCCCTAGCCAGTGCCGTGCTCCAATAGAGTTCCATGGTGGCCAGGCCATCACCAGCATGGTGCCTGCTGGGACATCACTCAAATCAGAAGCAGATTAGCTACATCAGAAAAGTTCTTTTGAGGACCTAGAGGTAAAAAAAAACCAGTAGGTTTAATGTTGGGCTGAAAAGCATTCAGAACATTACAACTATTTGGAGGCATTCAGCAATTTCAGTTAAAGTTGCTGAAATTTTGTAAGTCATCTTTAAATCTTCCAAATGTTGGAAAAACAAGACATGGACTTTTAAAAGGTTGCATTTATCTGCTCAATGCCGGAGACCCATCTTGCTTCTGTCATCTTTGAATGCTAAAGTATGTTTTGGGATTTTTTGTGGGAAAGGGGTGTTTTGGTGGAGTCACTTTTTGTGATTGATAATGACAAGTCACAAGAGAGACTGAAGCTAAGTTAGAAAAGGAGCAGTACTAGTACCATTAATGTCAATAGAGTTCCATGCTTAATGCAATGGTAGGAGTGTTGCCCTAACAATACTGAAACTTTGCTTTTT